ACACGGGGAAGTGGTTTGGGTTATGCTCGGGAAAGAATTTGGAGTAATTTGCGAGGGAGCCTTGTTACATGGCATGGAGCTGGATGAAATTCAGGCATTTGTTCGTAAACCTGCGTGAAAGCAATGGTGTAGGCCATTCCACTGGAATGGTGAGTGGCTCCTTTGCAAGTGTGGGTGCATCGGCCTGCAGCTATACACTATTTTTCATGGGTTTCTGCATGATTGGTTGAAAGCATCAAGGTTGGCAGAGGCAGTCAAAGGACGCCCGAGGCTCTTGCCTACATTGACTGGAGCCGGAGGGAAGAGAGACATACATTGACTGGAGGCGGAGGGAGGAGTGACATACATTGACTGGAGGCATAGGGAGGAGTGACATACATTGACTGGAGGCGGAGGGAGGAGTGACATACATTGACAGGAGGCAGAGGGAGGAGTGACATACATTGACTGGAGGCGGAGGGAGGAGTGACATACATTGACTGGAGGCGGAGGGAGGAGTGACATACAATGACTGGAGGCGGAGGGAGGAGTGACATACATTGACTGGAGGCGGAGGGAGGAGTGACATACATTGACTGGAGGCAGAGGGAGGAGTAACATACATTGACTGGAGGCGGAGGGAGGAGTGACATACATTGACTGGAGGCGGAGGGAGGAGTGACATACAATGACTGGAGGCGGAGGGAGGAGTGACATACAATGACTGGAGGCGGAGGGAGGAGTGACATACATTGACTGGAGGCAATTTGCAGGAGTGACATACATTGACTGGAGGCGGAGGGAGGAGTGACATACATTGACTGGAGGCGGAGGTGTTATGTGATGCTATCATGTACGTCTGTCTGCCTCCCATCACATGTTCGTGCGTTGCATGCGTGGTGAGCGTGTGCAAGAATTTGTGTTTTCTGTGGTTTGGATTTTCTGAGTCGGTGTGAATGTTATTTGGCTTGAGCAGATATCTGAAGTGACTCCTCTGCTCAAGAGCTTTCCGTCAAGCCAAGTATCGCTTCAATCGGAGCACGAACAAGAAAGTTACGAACGTTTGAAGTTCGTATGCTTTTGATATTTGGTTGTGGTGACTATGGGGAGTTGTGGGGTTGACTCCATATGGGGTACAGACTTTTGGGGGTTGGGAAATTCGTCAACATCACTGTAGATGCTGCCAAGTGGTTGGGAAGAGCCAAACCAGGTTGGCAAGTGTGGCCAAGTTGGGCAAGGTGGATGACATAGGTTGGAAAGTGACAAAAGTAAAAGTGGGGTTCCTATAGGGAAAGGATTTGTTGTGCTTATGGGGTTTCCTTGGTTGGGGACTCCTTGGGGACCTTCCCTCTCGTCCTCCTCTTCCTTCCCACCTGGTTAATTGCTACTCTAACTTCCTTGTGTGAAATTGTGAGACAATTGTGATTGAGTTAAGATTCCTTTGGCAGCATACCCCCCAGTGCGCCGAAATCGATAACTCGAGATTTGCTTCACCTCTTAATACGATTCAACTGGGGAAATGTCGCTACGATATAGGGCTACAACATATCTGAAATTGGTGAAGTTTTAACAGTGCGTTTTTCGTAGACGACATTTCTTGTGAGCGCGACTTTTCTGTCCAGAATTATAAGCCAACGATTTTGAGAAATTTAGGCACCTAATCTTCGTAGACTCCGTCCTTAGTCTCTAAGAAGTGGTATCAGAGCTGAATAAGGACCTTTTGGAGAGTCTACTGAAGTGTGAAGACCCTCTTAGACCCACCATGGCCTGTGGGCGTGCCTAAGTGGAGTTCTAGAGGTTGCATGTGACTTTCGCTAAGGGGAAACTTTGCCGAAATTTCGTTGGCGCCGACACTTGTGAAGATTGTGTGAATCTACATTGTGACCAGAAAAAGGGGGAGCTGGAACCTCTGATTGGGAGCAGAGGAGATGAGTCAAGGGGGTGGAGAAGCAGCTGAGAAGAAGAGTGAGCCGCCACCATCCAAGATTGAGGCATTGGATGGCTCCAACTATGAGGAATGGAGTGGGCGGATGAGGAGCGCCTTCAAGCGCTACAAGCTGCTGAAATTGGCTATGGGAGAGGAGAAGATGCCCGAGGAAGGAGATGCCCGCGATCGGTGGATTGAGCGGAGCGCGGTGCTGTACGACTTGATTCTACAGTCGGTCAACAACGACATGTTCCAGCACATCAAGGATTTGGTGGAGCTCGATGACTCGGGACCGAAGGCGTGGAAGATGCTACGCTACGTGGTTCAGCCCAACACGCTGCCGATGGTGATCGTATTGGAGAAGGAGCTGGCTGCCCTCTCCATGCGGCCAGGAGATGATGTGAAGCCGGTCCTTGACAAGGTCAAGGACACCTATGCGAGGATGGCAGCGGCGGGCAGCAAGGTGTCGGAGATGCAGCAGTGCACCAAGATCATCTCGGTGCTCGACAACTCGTGGTACAACCTTATCCCCACCCTCAACGCTCAGCAGGACAAGTGGACGCCTGAGTGGCTACGGCAGCAGATCCTGCAGGAGGACTTCCGCAGGCGCCACACGGGAGGTGGTGCTGCCAACAAAACTGCTGAGGGGTATGGAGCTGCAAGAGGCAGCAGAGGAAGAGGGGGAGGGAGAGGCCGAGGCCGTGGGAGAGGCTTTGGCAGAGGGAGAGGCCGAGGTGACTACAATGAGGGGCATGGGAGCTCTTGTGGCAGGGGGAGCACCCGAATGGAGGGTGCCTGCTGGTACTGCAAGAAGGCTGGACACCCATGGTTCAAGTGTTTCAGCCGGCCTGAGGGATGGGCGCCCCCAGGCATGAAGCCGCCAAGTGGTGAACGTGCACGAGGTGGCGCTGTGCAAGGTTCAGGTGCACAAGGTGATGGTGCACAAGGTAAAGCTGACCCTGGGATGTTCCTCATGGTTGAGGATGTGCAAGGCAGTGGGGGTGATGTGGGTTCAGTTGGGAAGGTTGTGATGCACCCCCTCACCCACTGGGTGATAGATTCAGGTTGCACAAGTCACATGACCCCACGGGCAGATTTGCTTGACGAGGTAAAACCCCCAGGGAAGATCAAGTTTGTGGCTGCCGCTTCAGGTGCTTTGCTCCCTGTGATTGGTGTTGGGAATGCCAAGGTCATGGGAGCCAATGGGGGGCTTGTGGGGCTGGGGAATGTGCTATTGGTTGAAGGTTTATCCGCTAACCTCCTCTCTGTGCGCCGGCTGCAGAAAAGCAAGGCCAAAGTTACCTTCGGCCCAACCAGCTGCCGTGCAAAGCTTGGGAAGTTGCTGCTGTGGGACTTGGAAGAGAAGAGCAGCTGCATCAAGGACCTGTGGCAGCTGCCCATCATCCCTTGGAATGGGAAACCACCAGCAACGGCAGCGGCTGCAACAACGGCTAAGGTAGCTGCAGGGGGAGAGAAGATTGCACCAATTGGTGGGACCCTGGATGCGGTCAAGAAGGTGCAGCAGTCACAGCAGCCACATGGTGAGGTGCTTGCTGGTGTGGATGCAACCGCTGCATGGGCAAAGGCTTCATCTGGGAATGGTGATGCCGATTGGGAGACGTGGCACGAGAGGTTGTGTCACATCAACATTCCTATGCTGCAGAAGTTAGTGAAGGATGGGAGCTTGAAGGGGTTGGAGGTGAAGGGGGCAGCAAAGGAGATTGGGAGCTGCCCTACATGCCTTGAGACAAAATTCACGAAGTTTCCCTTCAGCTGTAGCACAAGACCAGCCATGGATGTGGTGGGCCCTATGAGGGCCAATTCTCTCTCGGGGAGCCGCTACTTCTTGACGATTGTGGATGACCACACGCGTGCGGTGTGGGTGTACCCTCTCAAGACCAAGGGGGAGGTGGCCGCGGCTGTTCTTAAGGAGTGGATGCCGAGAGCTCAAAGGGAGAGCGGACATAAGGTGAAGGTGATCCGCACCGACAACGGAGGAGAGTTCATTGGCAATGAGTTTGAGGCGGTGCTGAAGAAGAAGGGGATTCAGCATCAGCTCACAGTGCCCTACAACCCTCAGCAGAACGGCGTGGCTGAGCGGTTCAACCGGACCCTGCAGGAAGGTGCTCGCACTCTCCTTGGGCGTGCAGGGCTGCCGGATCCGTTTTGGGTGACTGCACTGCGGCAGGTCGCCCTTGTGAAGAACAGGGTGCTGGCGACTGTGGGGGACAAGCAGTGGGTCCCCTACACCAAGTGGTATGGGAGTGCACCAGCAGACAACATGCTGAGAGCCTTCGGTTGCATGGTGGTGTTTCATGTGCCTAAGGAGAAGAGGGGAAAACTGGAAGCTTCTGGGAGATGGGGTGTACACTTGGGGCTTGCTAAGGATCACAAGGGCTGGCTGATTTGGGACTTGACCAGCCAGCAGCTTCACAAACATCCCGAGCTGCTTTAGATGCAAACTTCCTGTTGCGCAGTTTGGCAAGTTGCTGGCATTCCCGAGCTGACTTGCGTCACAAGTGCAGCTAACTGCTTCTGTCAGGCAGTAAGCCAGAGTCGTTCCGTCCATCCACTGGCATGAGCAGTAGCCAGCGAGCATTCAAACTGTTGTGAATGCAAGTGTCAAGTCCACAGCTCTCTCAATGAAGCCAACGGAGTATTCCATAATCCATTCTCTAGCACCCATCTTGGCTGGCTGTCATGTCATTTCCCTTTGCAGCACTCCAGTATCAGTCATTGAACACAGATATAGCTTGCTCTTTCAGCTCACGCATGGTGCTATCTTTGAGTGATTTTCAAGCTGCTTGCCAGCATTTTCTACGCTTTTAAATTTGTCAGCTGAGGTTGTAGATTCCCCCGTGTGCTTCACTGCTTGCGTCTCCCATTTTATACTGATAAATGCTTGAGGTTGTCTTGAGTCTCCCCTGTAACTGGTATCTCGAGCTTGGGGTTTATTGCACCCAAGTTAAACACAAACAAACTCCAAAGTATTCTTATCGCATCGCCCTGTACATAACACTCTAGTGTATGACATTACTGCTACTTGCACTAAGTCTCAAGTTGCATGGCCCAAATACAGACACTATGAGCAAATTCAACGCCCATTGGTTGTCTTCAGTTGCACCCAACTCCTGAGGCCCAACAATGAGCTCACACCTGACTGTGAGCCATAAGACCTCTCAGACTCCCTCCCACGATCTCCCAACGACACAGCAGAAACATCCCTTGAGGATGTACCGGTATCCACGTTGCTTGCACCGTCTTCCTCCGCGACATTCTCCCACTCATCCTCCTTGTTGGGACAGTGCTTGGCAATGAGGGCACTGAGGCGGTATGCCACATCCTTCATGGTGGGTCGCCGTGTGCCGGGAGACTTGATGCAGTCCAGAGCCGGATCTGCAAAGTCCACTATGGCCTCCTCACTTGCCACCGGCATCTTGCTGTCCTTCAACTCCTCTAGCTCATACACCTCCACCAGCTTCATTGCCTGGAGGGGAATGTGCACGCATGGATGATGAATGGCGAGGCAATGCAAAGCAGCATGACAAGAAGCAAGGGAGGTGGAAGACAGCAGGAAAACAAGGAAAGGCAGTGAAAGGCAGCATGACAGCAAGGAAAGGCAGTGCAGGCCAGCATGACAACAAGGAGAAGCAGTGACAGGCAGCACGGAAACAAGGAAAGGGAGTGAAAGGCAGCATGACAACTAGGAAACGCAGTGAAAGGCAGCACGGAAACAAGGCAGTGACAGGCAGCATGACAACTAGGAATAGCAGTGAAAGGCAGCACGGCAACAAGAAAAGGCATAGAAAGGGAGCATGGCAACTAGAAAAGGCAGTGAAAGGCAGAATGGCAACAACGAAAAGCAGTGAAAGGCTACACGAAAACAAGGAAAGGGAGTGAAAGGCAGCATGGCAACTAGGAAAGGCAGTGAGTGGCAGCACAGAAATAAGGAAAGGCAGTGAAAGTCAGCATGACAACTAGGAATAGCAGTGAAAGGCAGCACGGCAACAAGAAAAGGCAGAGAAAGGCAGCATGGCAACTAGAAAGGCATTGAAAGGCAGAATGGCAACAAGGAAAAGCAGTGAAAGGCAGCACGGAAACAAGGAAAGGGAGTGAAAGGCAGCATGGCAACTAGGAAAGGCAGTGAAAGGCAGCACGGAAACAAGGAAAGGCAGTGAAAGGCAGCATGACAACTAGGAATAGCAGAGAAAGGCAGAATGGCAACAAGGAAAAGCAGTGAAAGGCAGCACAGAAACAAGGAAAGGGAGTGAAAGGCGGCAACAAGGAAAGGCAGTGAAAGGCAGCATAAAAGGGACCCCATGATGAACGTGCGTCCAAAAGTAATGAAGTCAGAGACGAGTTTTAGACCTTATCAGCATACCCATTCTCTTATATGCAACTTTCCAAGTCTTAAGCCAAAACAAAGAAAAGGTTTCATACTTGATGTGCATACCCATTTTTTTATATGTGTTTTTCGTCGGCTAGGGGTGACTTGCCACTCAGCAGCTCAAGAAGCACAATTCCAAAGCTGCAAGCATCATCCATTTGCAAAGGCTCACAAAGAAATGGACAGATGTAGAGATAGCAAAACAAGGTGCAAGAACTCAACATAGCCAGAGTAAAAAAAGGCTTTGCACAAGTTCATTGCGCTGCACAAAGGAGCCAGCATGCACAGCAGTAGAGATAGCAATACAAGGCATAACCTGGAATGGTAACAAAAAAGCCTGAGGAGCACAATACTGTTGTCCAAGGGAACAAGCATGCAGACCTGAACACATCACTCTTGACAGTGATGACGTGGGTGCGGCTGTAGTCCGAATCCACATAGCCTGGAGTGCCAGCCACTCGTGTGACATCAGCATCGCCATGAGTGAGGTGCTTGAGCAGCCCAAAGTCAGCCACCTTGGCTTGCATGTCTGCTGTCACAAGGATGTTGGCCGGCTTGATGTCACGGTGAACGATGGGTGTGTCAAACCCGTGCAGGTATGCCAGGCCCTCTGCTGCTCCCTGTGCCAGGCGCAACCTCTGGCGAAACGAGAGCGGACCTGAGTCATACAACAATTAATAAAAATGCAGAACACACGATATTATGAGTGGAGGTGTTGTGTAATGTACAGGGAAAAGAAAAAACAAAAAGGAAAAAAAAAGGAAGGAAGGAAGGAAGGAAGGAAGGAAGGAAGGAAGGAAGGAAGGAAGGAAGGAAGGAAAGAAGGAAGGAAGTAAGGAAGGAAGGAAGGAAGGAAGGAAGGAAGGAAGGAAGGAAGGAAGGAAGGAAGGAAGGAAGGAAGGAAGGAAGGAAGAAGAAGAAGAAGAAGAAGAAGAAGAAGAAGAAGAAGAAGAAGAAGAAGAAGAAGAAGAAGAAGAAGAAGAAGAAGAAGAAGAAGAAGAAGAAGAAGAAGAAGAAGAAGAAGAAGAAGAAGAAGAAGAAGAAGAAGAAGAAAAAAAAAGGGGTTTAGCAATTGTGCTAGTTTGACTCACGCTTGGTCTTGTGGATATGGTACTCGAGGTCTCTGTTGCCTATGAACTCGTACACGAGGATCTGCTCCGGCTTGCCCGTCTCCACGTTCTGGTCCAGGCAGAAGCCCAGCAGGCGCACGAGGTGTGTGTGGTGGAGAGAGGCCATGGCTCGCACCTGCAACACGTAGGCAGATGCACATTGGCATGAAAAGGAGAGACATGCGTTTGCAGGTCAGCATTTTGGGACGCAGAGAGTGCCGTGTCGTACACAGGAAACTAGAGGCATGCCTCGCCTCCGTTTCAATGGTGTTGTCATGATGGCGCCTCACCTCTGTTTCAAAGTCGTTGGTCATGATGGTGGATCGCTTGATGGCCCACAGCTGGCCCTGAGGCGAGCAGCCTTTGTAGAAAATGCCAAAGCCACCCTTGCCCAACACATTGTCCTCCGACCAGTTGCTGGTGGCCTTCAGCATCTGCTGCAGTGAGAACTGCTCGCACACATCCAAACCCTCCCACTTCTCTGCGCACAGAAAAATCCCAGACCAGAGGTGTGAGGGACTAAGGGTGTAGATGCGTGGACAGAGCATGAGGGCAGAGTAGAGCCGGGCATGAGGGCAGAGGAGAGGAGAGCATGAGGGCAGAGGAGAGCCGGGCATGAGGGCAGAGGAGAGGAGATCATGAGGGCAGAAGAGAGCCGGGCATGAGGGCAGAGGAGAGGAGAGCATGAGGGCAGAAGAGAGGAGAGCATGAGGGCAGAGGAGAGGAGAGCATGTGGGCAGAGGAGAGCCGGGCATGAGGGCAGAGGAGAGGAGAGCATGAGGGCAGAGGAGAGGAGAGCATGAGGGCAGAGGAGAGGAGAGCATGAGGGCAGAGGAGATGAGAGCATGAGGGTAGAGGAGAGGAGAGCATGAGGGCAGAGGAGAGGAGAGCATGAGGGCAGAGGAGAGTCGAGCATGAGGGCAGAGGAGAGGCATGGAAATTGGGAGAGGTGGGGAGCAAGGAAGGAAGCCAGGAAATAGGTGCAGCAAGGGGGGATATGGAATGGGTTGAGGGGCTCACTTGGTCCGCGGGGCCACAGCAGCCATGCGACCACCGCAGTCAGCAGCGTGAAGCCAGCAAAGCAGCCCACAACAATGCCCACTATGGCGCCCGTGGACAGAGACGACACTGCCAAGGAATGAACATGGGGCAGTGATAAACGCGTGTATAGAAGAAGTCTCATGAAACATGGATACTAGTGCAGAAGATAGGAATGAAATATGGAGCTGTAAGAATGAAGCAAGGGTTACCAGTGTTGGTGGTGGAGTGGACAATTGCGCATGTGGAGGAGCCGTTGCCCGAGTCGACAGTGGTGTACCCCGCATCACAGATGCACGTGAAGTTAGAGGGGGAAGTGGGGGTAGCCGGCACACACGCCCCATGGCCGTCACACGGGCCATTGTCCGTGATGCTGCAGAACGCCTGGCAGGCTGCTGCGCTGTGCTCGGTGCCCTTGGACGTGCACTTTGTCCTTGGGCTGAGGGTCAGGCAGTTGCCTGACAGAATCACCCTTGTCGTCTTGCCCGACTGCACCATGGGGTTATTATCAAGCAGATGGGTCGCAGGATTGCTGCACCTGCCACCAAAGTCTTGATATATAAGAGAGGTGTCCCATATCTCCAGGTTGTTGGGCTCGCTGACCTCCGTGGGGCAGACCTTGCAGCCGGCAGCATAGAGCACGGCATCTCCAAAGTAGAAGTTGTGAGCCAAGTTGATGAGGGCGTTGCCATCTGCGACCATGTTCTCAAAGTCGCGGTTGATGCTCCCATACAGGCTGTTGCCACTCACATCACTTTGGGGAGCGCCGGGGAACACGGAGGGTAGGAGGTGATTTTGAGTGGCCGGAGGGTAGTCAGAGGCCGTCTTAGCAGATAAGAATTTTGAGGGTGCGCACTGGTGGGCATAACACTCATGTATTCGGGTGCAATGCCTATGTTGAGGGTGCGAGCTGTCAAGAATGGCACCGAGAATAGAGTATGCACAGTAGGCAGGGTGTTTTTGAGAATTCTCAAAACACCCTGTATGCACGGTAGGCTCACATTTGGCTGATGCACTTGTCAAAGAAGCAGTCTGGCAGGGGTCCATAGAGGTAGTTGGTGCTGACCATGCTGCCAGCAGCACAGCACACACCATGCCGCGCCGTGAGCCACACACCCATACAGAAAGACAAACACACAAAAAGGAAACTACTTCCTATGTTCCAACGATTTCTAAACTCATGAAAGCAGGAAGTATGCAACCCTCGTTCAAATAGCTATGGTCTGAAAGCAGTAAGTATCAACTGGCAAATTCCTCAAAACAATCAATCATATGTATAACAGCCACTCACAAGCGCCACAGCCAGTGCAGCGAGCATAGGCCAGTTGGCAGAGGGCCTTCAATCTTGTTGTTGTCCAACCAGCTGGGGGGCAGGCAGAGCATTGGCAGGATCAAAGGCGCCAACCGTTGCATGAAGAGAAGGGGGTGGAGTGGGGACGGCACGGGTGATGTTTGCGTGTTATGATCTCCTGTGTTCATTTCATGGTGAGGAAGTTTACCAGGTCTCTTATAGAACCGATGTACTACAAGCTTGCGCTGGTGATGCCAATGTTGTTTCGTAAGCTGCCACCATTCTTGAGATGTGTAGAGGAGGAAGGCACATAGCACCCTCACATCTGTTCAAGGTTCTCCAATTTGCTGATGGCATCTGGCAGACTCCCAGTCAGATGGTTGTTGGCCAAATAGCTTACGGGCAATAGCAGCAATGGCAGGGAGACATTCCAATGAGAAGCAGCGTATGCAAGAACAATAGTGCAGGCTGGTGCAGAAAAGCACCTGTGGGCAGAGGCTGGAACATGTGATGGGCACTTAGAAAGGGGATCCCTATACCCATGAGGCTTACAGGTATGTCAGATTCCTCATGGTGAAGATGGCTGAAGGGATGGTGCCAGTCAGCTGGTTGTTGTTGAGAAAACTGCAGAGCAGGGGATAGCAACGGGGTACATTGGCTGGAAGTGCAAATTAAGCGTATGTAGCTGCGTTTGTGCATAGGCTGCCACTGCTACCTTTCTCCTGCCATAGGCTGCCACTGCTAACTTTCTCGTGCCCTAGGCTGCGTGCCACTGCAAAGGCTCAATGGTGACTTTTGTACACGACATCCCACCTTGTTCAGATGGGAATAGCTTCACTTCACGGATATGTGCTCACGTGGCAGCTCGTTGGCACGGCAGGCATAACGGCTCTTTGTGGCACACAAGAAGAGAAGAGAAGAGAAGTCTCACGGCTTTTTGCTTTCGTCTAGAGTTTGAACTGAGTTGTACGTCCGGATCTTAATCGATTTTTTCGATGGTTACTTTTTTCACTAGTTAACTATCGTCCCTTTGATAAAGGCGACCTTGCCTACTGCTGCCCTTCTTCATGAGCACAGAGCTCTTTGTGGCACACAAGGAGAGAAGAGAAGAGAAGAGAAGAGAAGAGAAGAGAAGAGAAGTCTCACATGCCAATGAGGGTGGTGAGGGTGGAGATGGAGTTGGGATCGACCCTGTGAAGTTGTTGCTGCTGAGATCTCTGACCCACAAGACAACACAGGCGAGGCAGCAACTAGATCCATGCGAGCGAGGTGAACACAACTGCTAAATTTGGGTGCAATGCAATGGTATACAAAACCCATGGTGCTAAAAACAGAGATTGAGCAAGCGATGTTGAGAGTGGAACAGACAGGGGGGAAGAAGGCGTGGAGAGGCTTACATCTGTTCACAGCTGACTTTCCAGTGTGAGAAGTCTGGTAAGGAGCCCGTCAGGCCATTTCCTCCCAGGCTACTGCACAATGCAAGGGGAGAGATCGATGATTCCATGGCTATGAAAGCTAAGCATGAATAGAAAGGGTGGCACCAGGTAAAAACAATGGTGGCAGCACACACGGTGGCGGCACGGCAGCACACCGTAGTTCAACTTCTTACAGCATGTGAAGAGAAGGTGTGACCCTGAAAGTCCGTGGTATCTCCCCAGAAATAGAGTTGTTAGAGACATCCCTGTGCTCGAAAAGGGAGAATCAAAGAGAAGGCTGGATGTAGCAGTTAATAACCCAGGGATTTTTCCAAAGCAAAGCACATGAATGCATTGTGGCCTCTCTACGAGACTGACAACGAGCCTGGGGTGGAAAAATGAAAACTTGGGAGATGAAGGGAGGGAGACACATCCCAAAGCAAGTAGCAAGCGGCGTCCTGGTTTGGTGTTTGGCAGTGGAGCAGAGTTCTCAGAGCTTGAGTCGAACCCAGGGATGTTTGGCAGTGGAGAAGAGTTCTTGCAACTCAGACTGTTTCCGAACATAGGCATGTACTCGGAAGTACTCGGACCTTGACTTTTGAGTCGACTCAAAAGTTTTTTTAGCAGAGTGATGTACTCCAAGTACTCAGACCTTCAATCGGAAGTACTCGGACCTTCACTCGGAAGTACTCAGACCTTCACTCGAAAGTACTCAGACCTTCACTCGAAAGTACTCAGACCTTCACTCGGAAGTACTCAGACCTTCACTCGGAAGTACTCAGACCTTCACTCGGAAGTACTCAAACCTTCACTCGGAAGTACTCAGACCTTCACTCGGACGTACTCAGACCTTTCACTCGGAAGTACTCAGACCTTCACTTCGACGTACTCAGACCTTCACTCGGACGTACTGAGACCTTCACTCGGACGTACTCAGACCGTCACTCTGAAGACTTGAAGGTGGAAGAATAGGAACTTCTGAAACAGGTGTGTTGGAGCTGCGTGAAACAAGTAGATATTTGAGACGTCTTAAGAATAGGATCTTCTTAAACAAGGTGTATTGGAGCTGCTTACAGCGTGTACAAAATGGGTAGCTGAAGCAGGCCGGATGGGATTGTTCCATAAAAATCGTTGTTATTGAGATATCTGCACAATGGTACCAAGAGCCTCAGAGTGACCTTGTATATGTTCACACAAGGCTACAGCATGGCATATTTGCTAGCAGGTCCTCAACCCCAAGTCATTGCCCTACTTGGCGATATTATTTCTTTCGTTCATGTCCCATTCCACTACACTTTGCAGCAGAGCAACTTACATGTGGGCTAGGTTGACAAGCTTGGTCAATTCACGGGGAATGGTCCCTGTGAAACTGTTGTTGGCCAAGTTTCTGCCATGACGATTTAGATTGCGATTGCCATTGGAGTATTTCAGGTAGTTTTTTCAGGAAGTACTGCAAGAAATGGCAGCAGTAGTTTCATCAGTGAAACCCGCCTTTGTTTGAGGTCACGCATGGATGCATTACAGGAATAATAGGGCTCTTCATGAGCGATTTTCAAGAATTCTCAAAAATCGGTCGCGCATGGATGCATTACACGAATAGAAGGCTCTTTTGTGCAGTTCAGTTGAAAACCAACCTTCAAGTGCAGTTCAGTTAAAAACCAACCTTCAAGTGCAGGCCAATCTCGAAGCAAACCAATTCGGATTGGTACTTTGTTTCGCTCGCCGCTTTGCTCATGTCTAGTTCAAATAGCTGTGTCAAATAGTTGTTTCAGTGGAAGAGATAGAAGCATTTGTTCCATCAGCGCAAATCCCTTGTGCTCAAGTTTACGAGTGAATGCCTTACAGGATAAAGAGGTCCTTCTGGCGCATAACAAAATCTGGGAAGGTTCCAGTGAAATGGTTGTTGTAAACAACCCTGAATGAGACCCAATATACAGGGCGTGATGGGGAAATAGTAAAACAAATACATCGGAAAGCACACATTCTTTTGCTTATGCACAGGCCACTGCATACGTGCTCTGGCACTTGTACATTACATGGACGCAGGAATCAAACTGTGAAGATAGAAAGTGTACAAGTGCATACATCTGTGCACACAACAAGCGTTTATCCACCATGAATTTGAATACAAGAATACAAGAATCGATAAAAGAAGCGCTGGCACATAAGTACTCAGGTGAAGGGCAGTCACAACGCTTACTGCTGTTGCATCCCATCCACCCGATTAGGTGCAGTGAAAGGGGTTGTAGCTTAGATGAGGTGAGAGGTGGCTCGAGTGGTCTCACAAGTTTGTGATGCCACTGATTGCTGTAAACGACGCTGGAAGCACACCAGAGAAGTTGTTGTCATTGATCGATCTGCACAGCCAGCATTGGATTGGAGAGAGTGTCTTAGCTCGGATGTTGCAGGGAGCCAAAGTGGGAAAAGGGAAGTGATGGAAAGCAAGGTGAGGGCCAGCTGAGAAGGTGAAGAGGGGAGAACACTCACATGTCTTGGAGCCATGTCATCTGAGCCACCACGTCAAGACCTGAGCTGAGATTGTTGGAAGAAATGTCTCTGTCATGTGGAGCCCGTGCACGTGTGCACTCACACACACGCACGCACTCACATATGCACACACACACGCACACGCACACACACACGCACACGCACACACGCATACACACGCACACACACACACACACACATGCACACACACATAGGAGGCAACCAGCATGAGGCAGGAGAAGCTGTAACTATGGTCAAACGACGCACATCAAAGAACAATCAGTAACACGTGAGACTCTCCAAGTGATTCTATTGCATGCAGCAGTTTCGTGTCATGGGGGAAGGGAGAGGTATATGGGGGAAGCGCCGCTTGCAGAGAGACATACAGAAGATTCATCCTATTGAGGCGAGTGAAGTTGTTGGGAATGGCTCCTGTGAAATGATTGTGTGATAGTATTCTGCAGCCAGGGCAGCCGAACAGGAACCCTTGCAGATTAGTAAGGGAAAGACACAAGATTCGAGAAACAGGGTGGGGCAGAGAGTTCAAGTGGGAGGAGAGCCCAAGGGGTGAATAGGTCTGGAAATTGGAAGATGCGTGCATAAAAATGGGTAAACAGGACGACTTTTGAGTCGATTCAAAAATAAGATGAGAAGATGAATGCATAAAAATGGGCAAACATGGGGGGCTCATAGTTCAGAGAGGTTGGGTAGTGCCAGCAGGTGCGGTGGGATGGGCCCAGTGAAAGCATTGTAATGGAGCAATCTGGATAGGGAGACAAGACAGGAGGCGACAAGGAAAAAAGGAAGAGTGGAGCAAAAGATGTGAGGCCATGGGGAATAAGGGTTCGAGAATACGAAGTGAGGCGGGAGTGAAAGGGGGGGTGGAGGGCTGAAGGAGCTGATGGTGAGACCAGGACTTTTGAGGCG